ATACACCATAATTAAAAAACAAAGACAATCAACATGGAGTGTAATAATAATAATAATAATGAAGTATTAACCATAGTAGAGAAATCACTTAATAATAATAGAAGATAGAAAAGTTTTATATCATACTGTGAAATATTCCAGATTAAACAATAACATTTTCATTGAGAAATGTATTTCACGGGCCTCCACCAGAAAAGTTACACAATGCACCTTCAAGTGAAACTATTGAAGTACTTTAACAGTAAAAAGTGTTTTGCAAACATTTTTAAAAAAGAATTAATCCATCATGTTAAGATTTAATACAGATTTTTAAGTGATTTCAATGGATTTCTTACATTTTCTCGCTGTTTTTGTGTTTTTGTGCATTTGGTTTGCTCAAAGTTGGGACATTAACTCAAATGAAATGTACTAAAAATAAGTCTCAGTCATTTCAGCAAGTCTCACACCATAAAAAAGTACTTTTCACTTTTCAGTCCATATCTAAAATGTTGTAGAAAATGAGTATAAAGTACAGATACATGCTCTCAAATGTAGTGAAATAAAAAGTATTCACTACACCTGAAAAATGTTACTGAAGTATTGTATTTTTACTTTTGTATTTTGAACACTAGTAAAGATGTCATTGTTTTTCGATAATGCACCTTCACGATCCTATCTTTCACGCCAGTTTTCCATGCGCAATATTGTACGTGCATTCCAAATCTCTCCGAGGGTGGGGACGCCAAATTATATCAAGTTTGTTACAACATCCCGAGCTCAAAACATGGAGAGACCGGCTGAGTCGCTATGACAACGGTGTAATCGGAGAATTCAAACAAACGGTGGAAGGTCAGCGCGCATATGGTTTGGTTTAGGGGCGAGTGGGGCTTTTTCACGTGGTTCCATTATTTACTTTCATAAAGTATTAGCTCGATAAGCGGCACCACCCAGACTCTGGCTCAAGAGACGCTGCCTGGCCTCTGTCTTTGTCTCCTCATCAGCCATAAAGTGAAAAACACAAAGCCACATGCAAAGGGATCACAGTTAGACTTTTTTTTTATATTTATGATGTTTGTAATGCGCTATGACATTAAAGTATTTGAAGGAAGTGCTCAGAAACTTTTATTTGTTTTTTGTTTTTTACTGAGAATGTAGTCAGACAGAGATAACACTATCAGAGTTGCTATGCTTGCTACTTATTTTGAATTTATTATTACCATTTATATCCAAGTAATTTCCCTTGTGGATTAATAAAGTTTGTCTTTACTCGTTTTACTCTTTGCCTCTCTTTGTCATTCTAATTTATTTTGATGTGTGAGCTACTGTGTCCAAATAACTTCCCTTGTGGCTCAATAAAGTTTGTCTAAGTCTAAGTCTAGAAGAGCCAAAACATGTAGTCAAGTAAGAGTAATGGTACTTCAAAGTAATATCACTCAAACAAAAGTACAAAGTAATGGTCCAAGAAATTACGTAAGTAAGAGTAAAAAGGTAATAATTAGGGAAACTACTACTCAAGTAAGAGTAACTGTAGGGACATAACGTCTGATTTTTAATTCAAAGTTAATCAAATTAGAAGGACAAAACATTAAATAATGCCCAAAATCTGGTACTTTAAAAGGATAAACATAAAAACTAAAAAAAAAACTAAACTATATCTGAAGGAGCGGAGCAAAAGACACAAATATTCAAATAATTTCATATTGTCAACATAAAGCTTTTGCCACTTGTAGATTCACTTACAGCGGGAAGGAGTAAAAGTGCTCTGAAAAGTACAATTTCTTTAAGTTGACTCAAGTAAATGTAATTGAGTACTATCCTCCTCTGATCGCCATTATTATTTCTAATTAATTTGAAAAATACATACATTTAAAACTAAATTTAAATATTTATAAAGTATAGATAAACGTTTTATTTGGGGTTTAAGATCACAAATATTACTATGTATTTCTATGCATTTTGTGTTCATTTTAATAGACTCATGTCAGGAATATGAGCAGCGGTTGTTTGTTGTAAATGTGCAATGTAAATAAACTGACCTTTGACCTTTTAGATAACAAATCAGACCACCATCTAAGCATTTTAGACCAGTACTTTAAAGGTGCACTAGCTACTACTACTACTTCTCTCAATTAAGGTGTTACTATCTAAGCCGAGGTTTTCCAGAATGGAGCATTAAACTCCAGGGTGACAAGCAATTGGCCCCACCATCCAAAGTTGTAGGTCAGATCTGTGGAGTGGCGACTGCTCTCACAATAAGAATGCATGTTTTTATAATGAGCAATAAAGACACATGATATTAAATTGCACAATATGTTTAATGCCATAACCCAGGCAAAGCAATAACATCTCCATGGAGACAGGATGGCAGCAGACAGGCCACCAGAAAAGTAACTTAGTGCACCTTTAAAGATTTGGGGCCTGTTATCAAATATGCACTTGTACTACTATTACAAATACTACTACTAATAGAACTTTTGGGTTTTCAGATCTTTTACAAAGCTTGTGAGTGTGTAAATGTACATTACTCCAGCAGAAGTAAAAAGTACTTCTGCTGAATTAATTCTGTGTGAAGTATGGAACCCATTACTATGCAACTCCACCTTTAAGTAAATGGAAAATGTACTTGTACTACTATTACAAATACTGTTACAACTACCACTAGACGTTGTGGGTTTTCAGATCATTTGCAAAGGTAGTGAGTTTAAAAATGTACGTTACTTCAAAATATTACTCCAGCAGAAGTAAAAAAGTACCGGATGATTATGTGAAGTATGGAAGACATTATTATGCACCTCTATATTGACGTAAATAAAAATGTACTTGCACTACTATTACAAATACTGCTGCTACAACTATTAATCAAAGTTGTGGGTTTTCAGATCATTTGCAAAAGTAGTGAGTGTAGAAATGTATGTTACTTCAACATATTATGCCAGAAGAAATGAAAAAGTACTGGATGATTGTGTGAAGTATGGAAGACATTATTACGCACCTCTATACTGAAGTAAATGGACTCCATGTGGTGTGCTGGTTAAGATCAGCTGTAGGACCTGCAGGTTGATCCTGTGTGAGGCGTGGACATGTGACCCAGCGGGGGGCAGGCGGGCACAGGAGTGGGAGGATGTCACATGATGTCACTTCCTGCTCCAGAGGTGGACAGGAAAAGGCCATGACCACCGGGGGGCTAAAAAAAGACATGTGTTAGTTTGCAGGAAGCTTTAAAGTCCAGATGAGCGCAAGAAATCAAGTGGAAGTTTTTAAGACTGAACCACTGTGACTAGCTCAATTGTAATTTTTATTTGATGCATCAGTTTTACTGTGCAGCCCCTACTGAGAAGCTCTATCCACAAGTTTCAGAATGACATGAATTTAGGACTGTTGCCAAAGCGATTAACAATTTAAAGCTCCACTAACTTTTTGTTTGGGCGTCCGTCACCTTCTTGTTTCTGAGGATATGTCATTGCTCTGATTCAAATGTTCCACAATATGACATTAAACAACTCTCTTACATTTCTTCAATTACAGGTGGTTTTATTCCTCACAAATACCTAGACAAACAGGAATTCTGACTGAGAGGGATTGCCTTTCCACAGATCTGACTTGGAACTTCACCTGGTTTGGTCTTCATGAAGATAGAAAGGTTTAATACCATTGTTATGTCCGCTATATCCAACAAGGGACACAAAAAAATTGTATAAAACAATCCTTGAGGCAAGGTCGGTTTGGCAAACTTTTTATTTTTCAGCCAAATATTCACCAAAATGCACAAAGAACAAACAAAAGGTTGGTGGGAGGAGGCGTGGGCCAGTTGTGCCAAATCAACAAACAAAAAGGTATAACAAAACAGGCCCTAACTGAAAACTAGGCTAAAAAAAGGAAAGAAATCAAAAAGCCTAGCCTACCTGATCTAGAAAAGAGAATTTGGAAAACTCAAAACAACAAGGGTGGCAACAACTGATAACTAATGTGTCTAACAACAAAAATCTATGTGGTGTGAAATGTACAGGGATCCCCAAACTTACCTAACCAATCCTCCCAACCAAACAAACCTGGGCTAGAGAGAGAGAGAGAGAGAGAGAGAGAGAGAGAGAGAGAGAGAAAGAGAGAGGCAGCACACAGCTCCTTTTAAACGGCCCTCTCCACCCTGATTGGCAGCTAGCTGGCCAATCAGGTCCAGTTCTGGTCCCACCCAAAGCAAATCTATCTTTTAAATGAGCAAAAATCCTCAAAAACAACGTGGACACTCACTGATACACGTGTTAAGTAAAAAGTAGCTAATAACCTCTGACTCTTTCTCATGACTACATATTTCTCAACTTAAGTTAAACCAGTGTAAAATACTGATTAAAGGTCCTATATTACCCAAAACTGGTGTAATGTTACCTCAACATAAACATACCCAAAGTTGTGTTTTGTTTCATTCACGTTTTCAAGTGAACAGCTACCATTTATCTTTAGTTCAGTAGAGATTAGCATTTCCAGGGCTGAAATTCTCCAAATGATTTTAGTGAAGGTGTTTTAAACACAGTGGAGCACTTCCTGTATCACCACATGACATCACAAGGTGGAACAAAGTACTTTCTGTTTGAAAGAAGAACTCAGCCTAAATATGCAGGATTTCTGTGTTAAACATGTATTAATGAAACAAAACAACTTCAGTTATGTTTGTGATGAGGAAACAACATTATACCAGATCAAAAATACTGTAACATGGGCCTTTAATTGTTCTTGCAACATCAACTGGTTTACTAAAGCTAGCCTCATGGAATCAAGAGAAATCCCACAAAAAGTTCCGTGTGGACCATTGTACAGTATGTGAGGAGGCGTGCAGCTGCTGCTTGTGACAAAGTGGGCCTTTGTCCCATTAAACTCATGTTAATTTGTTTAATTTCACACATTTGTTAATTTAACATATTTTTCCTAAACAGCTAACAACTGTTAGCTAAACAGCTAAGCAACTGTCCCTGGTTATTTTGTTTAGTTAAAATCTACCTTTAAGTTAAATACCAAACATACACAAGTTACTTTAAATATAATTTATTTGGTTAAACCTGTTCATGTGGAGGGGAGAACTGGCTGCAGTTTAATTTAGTTTCAATGTCTTTGTGTATTTTAGTTTATTTTAAACACTTATTGTTTAAAGGAACCTCATAATGTAAGCAGCTACAGTTAATATACTGCTACATTAGAATGTGAATTGTCACCTATCAAAAGAAATTGTACTTACCTGGGGGAGGTCCTGGGGAGTGTATAAAAGATCGTAACAACTCATTATAATACATTTTGTCTGGTCAGACACTTTTTGTTGCTCTTCCTCACACTGGTCCTCACCATCAACTGAAGTTGGTGGAAGTTGAGTTTGGACACCTTGGCAGTTTCTATGAGGAAAATGTAGAGGACTGAATGAGGAGAGAAAAGTTTAGCTAGAAAGAGGCTTTGAAGATGTATGTGCCATATGTATCCAAAAGCTTATCCCACATGCCGGGGCAGGCTAAGACAAGAGGGAAAACATTGTAGACGAGTAACTCTGAACAACTGCACATTCAGATGGTTTATAGGTACTTACTTTAAAGCTGCTGCAATCCACAAAGCCCAGTAAAACAAGTAATTTTAACTGTTTTAGACTGATCTGCATGAAGTTTAGATGCATTTCAGATGACAATGAAATTTTTACTATTAGATTCCAGTTCTATGAATACTGGACATGTGTCTCTGTGACATTTACAGCTGGTCTGAAACTATAAAATCATCTTATGGCTTTATTTGGCAGCACATCCTCCACATTACAGCACACACACATTTAAATATCAGTCAAAAGTTGAACCTGGTTAGTAGTGTTCCTTATTAATTCAAAAAGTGAATTGTATCTTGTTAAAATTCTCCTTCAAATGTCAGAAAATAGAAGACAGCACTGAGTAGATAGTAAAGATTCTGCATAGTGACTGTTGAAAATGTCCACATGGCTTATTTGATCTCTCCACAGTCCACAATGACAATTCTCTTGAGAACTCCACCATCATGTAAACCAAAGGACTCCATCTTGGTGATCACCTCCATACCCTCCTTTACCTGACCAAACACCACATGTTTGCCATCCAGCCTGAAGGAGACAGAGGCAGTGGGTAAGTCTGTACAGATCAGGGTGGTTTATGAGATTAAAAATAAAATAATTGTAATTACCAATCTGTTTTCTTGGTACAGATGAAAAACTGTGAGCCGTTAGTGTTGGGGCCTGAGTTTGCCATTGAAAGAATACCTGTAGAAAATTTTAAAAAGTGTTCAACACTGACCCTGATTGTATTAGTAAATATATTGTATAAGCAGTTCCTGCGGTCAAAATAAGTGTGTTGTATTGTCTGATAATCAGTCCAATAAGTGCATTGTTAGCATGTTAGTTGTTATTAGCTTTACTGTGATGTCAAACTCTGCTCTGGTCTCTGAAAGCTGTGAAGTGCTTATAAACTCATCGTGGTGAATAATTAAGATACTCTGAATGCATAAGGTAAGTAATCATTGAAAACTGTTGCTGTTTTTCATGTTTTTAAGACAGTAAAATCAGATATTTATTTAGTTTAATTTAATTAAGTTTTAGTCGGTCTATTCAGTGAAAGGTCAATGACCCAAGAATTGCATAAGATCCACTGAGCTTCAGTGTTCATTCTAAGGTTGTATGTTCTGCCATCTAGTGGAGATACAGCTGCACTGCTACACTTTCACGTTTTGGAGCAAATCTGAACCAGAATGAGCTAAACAACAGAAGACAGTCAAAAATAAAGTTCAGACAACTCACATATTAATATGACTGATACAGTACAGATTTCTTAGGCCCCCGTTCTATTCTGTTGCAAATGGCGCAATGTTGTCCACTAAATAAAGAAATGTCTGTGTATGGACAGTCAAGCTGACCTTTCCTCCCTGTACATTTGACAAACCTGGTCCTGTGTGTTTTAACTTGAAGTTTTCATCTTTAAAATTCGTTCCATAAATAGATTTCCCTCCTGTGCCATTATTATTGGTGAAGTCTCCTCCCTGGAAAAGAAATATTAACAGTATTAGTAAATATTATTAACAATATAACGTGTGAGACATGTCCAGCCTAATGCATCAGACCTGACACATGAACTCAGGGATGATCCTGTGAAACACACAGCCCTTGTATCCAAAGCCATGTTCTCCAGTGCACAGAGCGCGGAAGTTTTCTGTGGATGGGCACAGTTTAATATAATAAGAACATGATTAACGTTTTAACATTAAAGCATAGACCTACCTGCTGTCTTTGGCACTGCGTCTGCATATAACTGTAAAAAAACAACAACAAAAGAACTGGATGATGATGCATAATAATGAACAGCCACTTTCCTCCTTTAAGATCATGACCCATGTGACTCCTGCAGGTAACGGCACATAGGCTAATACTAATGCTTATGCTAACGCTGTACCTCAATGATGACTCTTCCCAGAGGCTCTCCGTCCGCCTCTATGTCCAGGAACACCACAGGGTTTTTGGTGGGTCCAGAGAAGAGTCTGACCGCGGCCAGCGCCACGGAGCTGAACCTCAGGCGGTTTTTCACCTGTAACATCACTTCATTTTCCCTTTACCCACAGCGGCAGCGGTACTTCCGTGTTTACATGTGACGTCATCGCGTGATCAGGGCCTTTTGTGGCAACAGCGACACCCCATGGCACGTTATTTCTTTCTTTTATATAATGTTAAAGAATATCATTACCTCCGCCAAGGAGGTTATGTTTTTGCCGGCGTTTGTCTGTTTGTTTGTTTGTTTGTTTGTTTTTCTGTAAGCAACATAACTCAAAAAGTTATGGACCGATTTTGATGAAATTTTCAGGATTTGTTGGAAATGTGAAAAGGAAGAACTGATTTCATTTTGGGGATGATCCGGAAGAAATCCTGGATTCTGGATCACTTTGAAATTTTAGTTAACATTGTGGTAAATGGGGCCAAAAATTTAGTTTCTCAATATCTCGGTTAATTATTGACCAAACCCCATGAAATTTGACTCAGGGATGGACAATGGGATCCTCTTTCATATTCCAAAGGCTGATCCGGATCTGATCCAGAAGACTGATTTTATCGCAATTTATATAAAAAATGGGGGTAGTCCTTGGCGGAGGTCTGCGCTCTCTGAGTGCTTTTCTAGTTATTATTATATTATCATCATAATATAAAAAAAAATCATTCTAGCTTGGCTTACAAAAATGAACGAATAAATAAATAAATAAATAATATTTTTTTTAAATGTGATTATCTAAAAAATCTTCAAATAGATTCCAATAAGAACAAAGGCACACAGTTGAAGTGTTTCGTCTGAATACATATTTATTAGATAAATATTAGGATGTCACATCATCTAACTACATACAGATTTGCAACACTAAAAATCACAATGTTCTGACCAGTTTAGAATATGAAATGATTGTACATAGAATGTACAAAAACCAAGAGACAACTGCCACCTGTTGTGCCAATCATTTCAGATTGTACCTTTATAGCAGATTTTGCCAAATCGCATAAAAATTATAAATTTGACAAAGTTTTACAAAGTGTAAATTTGGAAACAGCTGTAGAAAGCCTCCCATGGCTTTGTGTCTCCAAGTCCCAATTGACCTCAAAAGGTTGTGATACTTTAGTAGCACCTTTATAAAGTACACAGGTCATAGAGAAATACACGGAAGTTGAATATTACACAAAGCAAGAGTGTTTTTTTCTTAGAAACCCTGTGGAGGGGTACATAAAGTATTTTACATACATGAACAGGCGTGTTAGCGGTCTGCACAGACAAACACAGACTCATTTTCCCAATCCAATGTGACAGGAGGATGCAAGCTTTACAAATTCTAAATACACTATGCACACTCCTCCTGGAGAAAATGAATACATTTCTGTTAACGTGTCTCTATTTGTCATTTACATTATATACACAGATGTGATACCCCCCAAGCCTCCCACACGCCCTCAGGAGAGTCCAACCTCACTCATTTTAGCATATGCATTGCATTCTCTTTTGATTTCCCAACTCCTCCATGCTGCCTGTATGGGACAGTACAGACTGGGATGGGGCTCATAGACAGGATGTAGTGAAAGCTTACAGTGACACTGTGTATGGACCAGGCACCTCCACGCAGCAGTGCTTTGTCTCCACATAGAACAACACAACAACACATCCTTCAACAGTGTCCTTAGCTTTTACCATCAGAATGCACACATGTTTCTGATCCAAATTAGACCAAGAAAAGCAGGGCAGAAAATAACTTAAAGATATATAAAAAAAAAATAATCAAATGTAATTAAAAATAGAACATTTTTGAGTAAAGAACATGTTAGCACATTTAAATACAATGGGTGGTCATCAAAAATTAAGCATTATTATTGTTTGAATAAAAATTTCTATTTAACTTACAGCTGCTTTAACAACAATTTGGACTAAGACAGCGCATTCTGATTCTTCTTCTGATTGCCTATAAAAGAAAATGATACAAAAGAAATGCTGCATTGTTTGTGGCGACAGGGCACACAGCAGAAGGCCAGTGGGTTCATTTCACAAGTGGACATTTCTGTGTGTGCTGTGTGTGTATGTGTATAGGGCCTAGACAGTACCATGTAGCAGTAATAGAAAGGTCCAGTACTGTACAGACACAAGCTATTCACATGGGTATATACAACAGGTCTGGAAACACTGTTGGATCATGCACGATGTTTTTTCTTTCCCTAAAAGACAGTTCAACAGTAACAAAAATCAACATCAATACGACCACACGGACACATCTATAAAATACAGCCATTTTGGAAAAGTTGTCAGAAAGATGTTGTTATCCAGCTTTTACAACAAGTAGGATAGGACAGCTTTGGTGATGGACAGTATATCCGAATGGGGAGATAGATAACAATAAAAATTAAAACAAAGATATCAAATAAAAAAGTGGATTTGCGATAAAATAATAAATATGATTTGTTGAAGCACATTTAAGCTGGACAGGGACATTGGCACACATGCACATTAGGGGAAGTGGACGAGGAAGAGCTGACAATAAATACCTTAGTTTATGCAGCCATGTTGGTAAATAAAAAGTGAGTATTTTTCATTCTTCAGACATGATTTCTTCTCGTAATTTCACACATAAAATCAAACAGAAAACATTCAAAAACTCAAGCACGCCTCATGTCTACTCGACTTGGCTTTCCGGTCTTTCAGTGCGCGGAGTCAGATGAGGTGGAATTCCAGTTTCAGTCTATGGGAAAAAGCCATTCAATCATACTTCATACAAACATACACACACACACACACAAACTCACAAACACACACATACATACACACACACACACACACACATTACATTCATGCACAAGCCAGGAAGCTGGGGTCAAAAACATCACGGCATGTGCCAAGAATTTTGGAAGAACACATTTTTCGAAATCAGATAAAAACGCTCCGACTTTCCCCTTGAAATCGTCTCTTTTTCACAAAATGATTTAAAAAAAGCTACAACACTTTTTCCCCCCTCTTTCGTGTTGTCTTTTCTTTTTAGACGTGTTTATAGCTGCACGGTTTTATAGTCACAAATATTGTAGATTTACAGAATATGTCATTAGTGCGAGCCGAAAAGGCCAGAGAAAGAGAGATAGTCAGGTGTGACGAACTGGTGCGTTGAATCTTGTACATTTGGATAGAAAAAGAGGAGTGCGCAATACAACATCTGCCTCCCAGTTCGGTTCGTATAGGCGTCTTTTTGCTTGATAGCCCTCCAGTTGTATTCCTATGCCATACAGTTGTGGAGGTCTTGGTGAGTGCAAGTGTGCATGAGCATAGGGGGCGGGTTGGAGGGGGTGGGGTGAGTCTAATTGTTCTCAAAGAGGGAGAGCAGGTCATCATTGCTGTTGGTGGGGAGGTCCGGGGGGTCCAGGTATGACAGGAGCTCATCCGGGTTGGCCAGCTCTGGAAGCAGCTGTGGGCAGAGAGGAGAGAGAGAAGAGGTGAGTGGAGATGCTCTAAATGTAAAGCAGTTTGGTTATGGTGTGATTGCATGGAAATGTATAAGAATTAAATACTTTTTTTTTCTCCTGTGAGCTAAGCTAAAAAGCTAAATTTGTCTGTGTAATCACTCAGCTGTCAATGTAGGTTCCATTGCAAAAGAAAGTAGAGTTCTGTCAACTGGACAATTATTTTTTTAAAAGTGAAAATGCTTCGAAACTCATCCAAGTGGCTTATTCTTTTCTGACAGGGTTCTGAAATACATTGCCCTAAATAAGACAGTTCAAAACTTCTGTCCAGTTGACACAATTTTATTTTCTTTTGCCAAAAAAGAAGCCTCAAACTGTTTATTTGTTATATGTTATTTATGTTTTTCAACTTGAATACATCTGAATTGTTAATGAATTTGGTTGACATGGTCAAGTTGCAGTTATAGTTTTGATAGCTTGTAATAAAATATTATATCTTGTTAATTATCTTGCAGTTATATGACAGTAATTGAAGAAATGTACTTAAATGGTATTAAGGAACAAACAGAATCAGTTGTGACTATGCGGTTGCAAGTGACTCCTGTTATTTTTTAGTAACAATTAAGTAAAGATATTGCATAATATTGTCTATGCAGCATGTTTATGAAACTATAGCTTCACTTTAGACGTCCAGCTTTTTCCACACCATAGTTCCACCATAGTCTTTTCTAATAATATAAAACACCGAGACTGTAAGCACTAGAGCACAAACAATGAGGGCAGCAGCAGTAGCACACAAAGCTGATGAGCGCACACTTACATCCAGGGAGGGCTCAGGCATGTCCTGGGCTCCAGGCCCCAGCGATCCATCTGACGAGGGGTTAAAGGTCAGATCGCCGTGCGGGTGACTGTTGGGGCCAGGCTGCTGCTGCTGCTGAGGAGGCGGGGGCTGCGCGGGAGGAGGCGGCTGCGACTGGCGAGGAGGCTGCGATGATTGGCCGCTGTGATGCAAGGGCTGCCCTGACTGGCCGCTGTGATGCAAGGGCTGCCCTGATTGGCTGCCGGCGTGCGGAGATGCATGCAAGCTCGGCTGCATGGAGCTATGGGTCTGATCGGGGTGGGACATCTGGAAGTGCAGGGGAGGTAGAGGACAGTGATGGGAAGGAGGGGTAGGACGGGGAGGAGGGGTGCATGGGAGGGAGAGAGAAAGAGGGAGAGAGACAGAGAGAGTGGGATGAGTCCAGCGTGAATAATGTGGAACAGGCCTTTAGAGTGGAGCTGGAGCAGAGACATGTAGCTGCAACAGTACACGCTGATGTGAGCGTGTGAGCATGACTGAGCACACATGCTGCACACAGGACAGGACACTGCACCTACACCCTCACACACCACTAAGTGTTATGTGCTGGGGGGGACACATGTGGTCTTTGAAATCACTGCTCATCCAATTCACATAACGGATGTCAGACCTTCACTGACTGCCTTTATTGAGTGGATAATCTCACACCAGTGAGACTGTGTGAGATAGTACAGTGATCTTGAAACTATGGGTACAACTGCAGTGGTGGATGTGACTGGCTTGCTTAGTTAAAACATACAGTATGTAGTCCAGGTTTAGACCAAACATAGAGCCATTTTTTCCATAAATGAGTACATTTGTTTTTCCATCCAGTAAGTATATTTTAAAGCATAAATATGTGCCAAAAATTAAACCACTGTGTACTTCATCTAATTAGAAACATTTTACTGGCTGCAAACACATAAAGTGCCCTGTCACTAAAAAGCTGTTCTAAAGCTGTGCTAGAGCCAAATAAATGATGTATTTATACCAGTGATGAGCCAAAGAATTTGTGAGAGCTTGGAACTGGTTAGGTTTTAATACCTACTTCCTCATTTCACGGTTTGAAAATCCAGCACTCCATCTTAGAACTAGTTGCCTAAATCTGATTTAGATGGTACTTTTATACCAAAATAATGGATGTGAATTACTCACAGCCTCGTTCATGGCGTGGCTGAGGGGCTTGTCCTGGGGCAGCAGACCCCCAGGGGCATCAGGGGGGTGGGACAGTTGAGGTCCATGCATGAAGTCGTTCATGGGGGGACCTCCTCCTCCAACTCCTCCAGATGGATTACCATGAGGGAAGTCAAAGTTACCCTGTCCGTGGTAACTGTTGCCTACAAAATAATAATCATAAGATAATTTAAAATGTAGAAAGCAACTGTAGTCATGTAATGGGGTGAAAAACAGATGATAGACAACAACAGACCCCACAATATGCAATTTACTGTTGATGTAGAATAAAATGATTGATTATGAATTAGATTTAAATAAAATTAAAGTTACAACTTAAACTGGTTAAAAAAGTAATAAATACAACTGTCATTTTTGGAGCATCAAGAGTCAAATGTGTTGGATCAAACGTAAACTTTAAAAAGGATAAAAATATACATGTGTTAAGCATACCATTTTCTGCACTGGAATTTTTTGGGGGACTTGTTAAAGGAACTGTCACTGTCACTGATAAAACATAATAAACTCCAATAAAACCCTCTAAATCTAAACCCTACATTGTTAGTACATTGATTGTTACCTGGTCCTGGATAGTCCCCTCCATTGCCACTGCCGTGCTGTCCTGGGTGTGGGTACGGACTGGGACCCTGAGCCCCAGGACCAGGCCCGGGCCCCAGCTGAGCGATCATGTCCATCACGTTGGGCATCGTCATCTGACTGGGGCTCATGGTCTTGAAGCGTTTGGCCAGGGGTCCGTCAGGGTCCTCTTTAATGTGCAGCTCTGATTTGATGGGCACCGGCCTCCAGCTACACGTGGGATCTATGGTCACCTCCTCGAACTCCGAACTGTGAATGAAATGAAAGAATTGAAATTAGAAAATACTGAAAACAAATAATTATACTTTTAACAAGCAATGGCAAAACAGTCTTACTTTTGAATGGCATTGAGGATTCCCCACATGTACTGGTCCACCTCCAATCCTTCTAGTAACGCTGTTTTACTGTTAACACAAAAACACATTTAGTATCAAAACAAAAATGCATTCATTATTCATAGAGCTCCCAAATATGGACATTCTAGGGCTGTCCATTCACAGACCATTTAGATGTACTGTACATAACAGATCACATTAGTATTGTTCTATAGTGTATTAAGCCTCTCTACTCACTTGCATACAGGACACCTCCACGTCCCCCTCTCACAGTTGAGCTGAAGGTACGACTCCAAATCAAAACACTGCAAAAACACAGAGTAATGTTAAAAGAACTCTCCACTAACAAAACTAAATTCATCTTAAAGGTACATTGCATAATATTTCTAGTGCAGGTCTGCCACCTGCTTATGTTATTGCTACATTGTCTAGAATGTTTCACAGTATAATTTAAAACTATTTATTATGAGGGAGACAAGCAGATTACAGTACTATGCTATATTACAATTCAGATCTTTGAAGAGTCTCCCCTATTCACAGAAAGAATTATTTTTAAGCAATAGAAACACCCACAATGAATAAATGGTAGATGGAAATGTTTAAAGTCATATCATAGAACATTCCAGACAAAGTAATAACATCCCCATGGAGACAATTAGATCACAAACCCTCTGCCCGAAAAGCTGCACAATGCATCTATAAGTACTTTATGTAAACCTCTCTCCAACAGACCTGGACATGTTTGCAGTCGTGGCCTCGCGCTGGGAGCTGGATTCTTCTGAAAGTTATGGGACACTTGAGGGAGACTTTGATGGCCGTCTGCTCCACTCCATCCTCCCCGTTCAGAGTGGTGTTACCCGCCGACGCTGCTACACTGCTGAAGTTCCTCTTAACTGTATAAACACAAGACAAGATTTAGTTCATAAATTGCAAGTATCTGAAGATTGTTTAGAACCTACATTACACAAAATCTTGAAAGTGTTTAGTCATGCTAGAATGTTGTGGCCTCATAAAAAAACATACCAGGAGTTGTATTTTGTTTCCTTCATGTTTGTGTAATTCTTTATTATTAGTCTGTTTACATCTCCAAAGTTGATGAAGTGAAGTGGTAGTTTTCAAGTCAACAACTACATTTTTACCTTTTGTTTAGTAGAGACTGTTAGTTCCAGGGCTGACAATTATCCAAATGATTCTAGTGAAGGTGTATGGAGTTTAAAAACACAGTGGAGCACTTCCTGTATCACCACATGACATCACAAGGTGGAACAGAAAGGAGTATTTCCCGTTTAAGAGAAGAACTCAACATAAATATGCAGGTGTTGTGTGTTAAACACGTGTGACTCAATGCAACAAAACACAACTCCAGGTATGTTTATAATGAGGAAACAACATTAACATACAGCAGATCAGAAAACAGAGTAACACGAGCCCTTTAAGTATGCAGAGAAGGTAGTAGCTGCAGTAATTAAGAGATCCATATAGTGAAGTGAGATGGAGGCAGTGTGGAGCTTACTTTTGGTGATACAGTGCTCGGCGGGCAGCAGTCTCTTCTTGAGGAGGCCCTGGAGGACGGAGCGCACAGATGGCCTATGGACCAGCTGCAGCACAAACAGGTGCGACTGCAATACAAAACACAGCAACAAATCAAACATGAGACTCCGCAATGCATAGTTTTAATGAAGGTGTACATTCTGCTGTAGTTCCTTTCTTCTATCACGTGTCTATCGCTGTCTGTTTATCATAATCTGCTCATTTGATTCTCAACCTCCCAAGTCTCAAGTCACGTATGTAGCCTATATAAATGTAATAAATATTTCCCTTCCTTCAATATGTTTCAAGTATGTGCATGAACCCTCCACCCCATCACAGCTGTACAACTATCAGCCTCATCATTCTCTTCCTCATTCCTATCTCTGAAATGTATTATATTTTGATTAAATTCTTCTTTTTTTCACTGCCACCCTTTTTTGTTTTAAAGGGACAGTTCGGAATTTTGGACATATGGCCTCATTTCCTAGTGAGCCAGAGTGTTGGAGACGTGTGGAAACACTTTTTTAAATATTCCATCCAGTCCTTGTGTTTGCAGAGGTTGCTGGTGCTAGACTAGAGCATGTCAGTGGCCATAGTTATCCTGCCACTAAATCAGTCTTACCCACTCCACAAAACACCCGAAGCAAATCTATTATAACACCAGACTGTTGAAAAATCTAAATGCCTGTGTCAATAGAATAATTTTAGAAGTAAAACCAAACTTGCATTTGAAGGATTTATGTCTGAGCAGCAGCAGCGAGTTGTACTTCCTGATAAAAAGCTTGGCAGCGGCGGACTGATATATGAGAATATAGTCCTTCAACATGTGACAATTCATGCGATGCAAGATTAGTTTTATTTTGCACAGACATTTACAACAGTCTGGTGTAATAATAGATTTACTATGGCCATTGACACCTCTGCAAATACAAGGAATGGGTGGAATTTTTTTTAAAGTGTCTCCACACGTCTCCTACACTCTGGCTCACTAGGAATGAGGTCATATGTCCAAAATTCCTAACTGTCCCTTTAACACTACAATATCCCTTATTATATCACTGCCACTGCATTTGTAATTAAGTAAAAAATAAAGTAAAATGCTCCTCAAAGTACTAATTACCGTTTTATGCAATTTGTGTGACATTTTAGGTCAGTCCTGTATACAAAACTTAAACAGTGTAAAAGTTCTGGCCAATCAGAGCAGGATGGGCAATGTTTTTTGTAGCTCTAGAAAGTAGAGACAGCAGTGACGTGTCATGGATTGGGCCAAATGGGACTTAAACTCAGTAACATAAGTACTTAATTATAAATGTATGGGTAGAATAATATGTAAGTACAAGTGTGTCTTTAAAAATCTATTCAAAATATTATAATTTTTCAAAAAAAAAAAAAAAAAAATGTAATTAGCTACTTTGCACTCCCGCTCTTATCTTTACCTGCCATGTTAAAATGACCAAAGTCTACTGTATCTATTCAACAGGAAACCGCACTTCATTGGTCTGAGGATTACTCAAAGTGACAGCAATGATGGTTATTTAAAGGTGCATTGTGTAACTTTTCTGGTAGAAAGTTTGCTACCCACTTGTCTCCATGGAGATGTTATTGCTTTGTCTGGAATGTTCCATGGTATAGCTTTAAACATTTCCATCTAGCATTTATTTATTCATTGCGGGTGTTTCTATTGCTCAATAATAATTCCTTCTGTGAATAGGGGAGACTCTCCACAGATCTGAATTTACTACATCAAATACTACTATGGTATGATATTAAACCTTTTTATCTTCATGGAGACCAAATCAGACTAACTTACGAGTCATATCTGTGGACAGGCATCTCCCCTCACAGTCAGAATGTCTGTTTTTGTAGGTATTTTTGAGCTTTAAAACCACCTGTAATTTAATAAACGTAAGGTAGAGTTGTTTAATGTCATACTGTGGAACATTAAAGGCAGAGCAATGAAAAGTAACACGATGCACCTTTGAAGTGTAAAGCTGAGCAGTACTCACGCAGCAGCAGGCGGTGACGGTGATCTGGATGGTGTTCCTCCCGGGCTGGCACACGTGCTTGAGGTGCAGGGGCTTATGGGAAGTCTTGTTGTCCCCTCTCTCGATGGTGAGGGGCGTGGCGTTCACACTGACCTGCACGGAGGCCGGCCAGTTCGTGTTCATCTGTCTGTCCTCGTGGTGGTAGCACTTGAACTGCAGCTCCAGGTCTGACCTACAAAGCCAGATTTGGAATTAATGGAAAGTAATGATAACCAAATCTCTAATCTTGTGGTACTTAAAATAGGAAGGCTCAGTAGAAAGTTTACTTTTCCTGTTAAAATGATACGTTTCAGAAATCGGTGAATTCTAGAAATACAAAATGTTTCCAATGACACGTCTTTTTAGTCCATGAAGTAAAATTTTAAACATTGTAAAAGTCCAAAATTAGAGCCTGAGACTATATAGCAGTAACAAAATTCTACCTTATCAGTAATTGAAAATAATATAATAATAATTAAATTTATATTGTTTTACTGTGCTATCTAGAACCTCTGTGTTATTCAGTTTATCATTACAAAATAAATTTAGCTATAAAATCATATCAGATTATAGATTACAAGGCTGGTATCTGATTTTAAACCATGAATGAGGAACTTGTTTGTGAACTGTAGCCACGCCAACTTAAATCTTTTCTACCGCCTCAATACTGCACCGTTACAAAAAAAAACCTTTCCATGCCCTGTCATACCCTGTCAGTAGCTTCTCTATTACTTATTATCCCAGAAAATGCTTTGTAAAATGCATAGGTTACATCTTTGAGTTAATTTCTTTCTCAATTACCTGCGTTTACACACTAGATAATATAAAAGTCATTTATTTAAACCATAAAAATTATAATCAGGTACAGGCACTTTAAATATTATCTTCATTCTTTCGTATTATATTGTTATATTTTTACATTAATGTCTTGTTTGAATATTATCTGGTGCAGGGCTCACCTCCACATGAGGGTCTGGTGGACGGAGGGCCGGAGGTGGAAGACGTGGTTACTGACAGCCAGGTTGTGCTCCAGACGGAAGGGCTCCAGCACCACCCCATCCCGGACTGGGAACGTCAGCCTCAGCTCTTCATTGGGATTAGCTACAAGTCAATCACACAGTAGACAGTATTTTACTATAACTATATCAGTTATTTTTTGACATTGAAGCTTAGTCATTGTTTAAAGGGCCCATATTACGTTATGTTCTGATCTGTCTGTTATAATGTTCTTTACTCATCAAAAACATACGTGGAGTTGTGTTTTGTTTCATTCACACATGTTTAACACACAAACCCTGCATATTTTGGCTGATTTCTTCTCTCAAACAGATAACACTTTCTTCTACCTTGTAGATGTCATGTGGTTATACAGGAAGTGCTCCACTGTGTTTTTAAACTCCATACACGTTCACTAAAATAATTTGGATAATTACAGCCCTGGAATTGCCAATCTTTACTGAACAAAAGGTAAAAAGTTGCTGTTAACAAAGCAGTTTAAGCTTTGGTTATGTAGACAAAACTCCAGGAATGTTTTTGATGAGGTAAAAACACTATAACATGGTTCAAAATAAATTTTGCGTAATATAGGACCTTTAATTGCAGAAAGAAGTCCATGATATGAGATGTTTGAAATTGCCAGTAAACTTTGCAAAAACATACTTGGAGGGGGCGGAAGCGCTGTCATATTTGGTTTCATGTCAGGGGGGAAGGGGGGCTTGACGTCCTGGTTGGGCGACAGATATGGGGGTATACTACTTCCTGGGGTCATGGGGGGCGTGGGGTTCCCAGGAACAGGAGAGTGAGGGTAGTTACCCGGTCTGGGCTATAAGAAACATAAATAATACATATGTTAAAATGGTTACACTAAAACAATAATATGTCAAACTAAACATCTTAGAATTTTAAGAAACCAAATTACTTTATTTAATTAAAGTAACATACCCCATTCCCTTGGCCATAAGAGTAACCTCCTCCAGAGAAGTTGTTGCTCTGACCATTAAAAGGCTCAGGCTATAAATTTGAATAAACACATGCATTAGTTTGGTGCAAAGTCAATCTGTTTTGTGAAGTCTACTGTTTATAAACCACAACATTTCCAAACTATACATTTTGACAGAAGTGGATTAAAAAAAACTCTGTAGCTCACCTTGTAGTACTGGCCCATGGGCACTCCAGGAGGGTACTGGCCTTGCCCCTGCTGCCCTGGCATCCTCTGCCCGGGGTAGTTTGGGGAGGGCAGTGGTCTAGAGGCATTGGAGGAGCCGTACTGGCCTTGCTGAGGTGGGAACTGACTGTTAGGTCCATACTGTTGACCCCCATAACCTCCCTGAAATAACAGCATAATTTGTAAGACTCATAAATGTACACAATAGTCTCTATAAAGTCTATGAGTCTGTCTCCTCACATCTCCAGGGTACGGCCTCTTCATGCCCTGCATGGGCATGCCCTGTCTGGGACCTCCGGGGTAGCCCTGCTGGGGCATCCGCTGGCCGTGCCCCCCAAAGGGGCCCATGCCAGGTGCTCGGGCCGGGTTCATACCCATGGGAGGGCCACTCATGTTGGGATTATTCATGCCCGAGCCCATGCCTCCAGGGGGTGCTCTGGGACCAGGCTGGTTCATGAATTGACTGTTGTAGGCTTGTGTGGGGCCCATTTGAAATGAAGAACACATCTAGAGCAAAAGCAGAGGAGTTAAATGCTGAATGTAAGATTATCAGTTGGAGTTCAGGGGTCTTATAGCTCTATATGCGTACGGTCTAATACAGTCCTCTTTTATGAGCACTACAGTCTGTTAGCAAGTGTGCACTCCGCCGTACCTGTCCGTATTGATTCATGTCTTTATTCTGGGTCTCCTGCAGGGCTGCCACGGTGGCGGTTGCCGTAGCTGTTGCAGTGGCAGCAGCAGCGGCGACAGCAGCAGCTGCAGCAGCGGCGGCCGGCTGTGTGAAGTCACCGGGAGGCCGAGTGTGAGACGCCATCCCCATCCCTCCAGGAGCCGAGTTTGGACCTCCAGAATAACTGCACACAGAGGAGAGAGGAGACAGTCACTTTGGGGAGGTACTTCAAGGTTGTGCTGTGTACTTTATTATAACTGATTAAAACCTTTGAATCTACTGCAAGAAAAAAAAAGTAATCTAAATGTAATGGACTTCAGCTACAGAAAGTTAGTCAATTAGAAGACACTCACAGTAGCATTCTGTGCCTATAGTATACTGCACAGTTAGTCTTTTTAGCATAGTAACACAGTGCAAATACAAGACTGCAATCACTTAGGACGCAAAGATAATTATAGGGACACATTAAGAGCTAGGCAATCACACCACAACAGTTAGTTTTGGTTCGTTGTCAAGTATGAACAGTTACAGTTTCACAGTAGTGAAAAAGGATACATTTTAAAATACAAGTTATCTAGGGTGAAGTGCTGAGGTTGTGGTCTTATGAGAGAAAGCAGATTTGAGTTTGTGCAGTTTGCGGTGGTGCGAGCTCGTGTTACCTGCCGCTGTACCCCCCGGGGCCTCCTGGGTAGCCTGGCCGGCCGTACATGCCCTGATTCAAATAGGGCTGGTTGGAGCCTCCTTTGTTTGAATACTGCTGCTGCTGCGCGGAAAACTGAGGCGAGTTCATGCCACCTCCACTGCCCGTCATCCCCGTGCCCATAGGGTTACCGCCAGGGTTCATGGTGTTGTTACTGTTTGCCATCGGATTCCCCAAAACCTGCAGCATAAGACAATATAAAAGGTATAAAACAGTTCAAGGCGAGAGATGAGAAGTAATTGAATTAATGAGAGAGCATGCAGAGCGCTAATGAAGCTACCTGGCTCTGTGTGGTGTTGGTGACACCCCACACGGTCGTAACCACAGACAGGGACCCAGGAGGCTGGTTAGTGTTTTGTTGCCAGGGCACAGAGTCGTAAGGAAAGGACCCATCACTGCAGAGAAAAGCAAACAAGACATATTTTCAACATCCATTCTACTTTAAAGGTGCACTGTGTAACTTTGACTTTACCTATTTAAGCATGAAGTGTCTTTTGCAATTAAAATAGGAATAATTTATAAGAGTATTGCTGTTATCAAGATGTTAAATATCAAATAAATCTAATTTTCTATACTTTTGACAACTCTATCTTGCACAATGTCAAAATAAGAAAAGTGAAAATGATTAAAGATACAAATGAAAAAGGCTCTTGCCAGATCCAAAAAATACTGCAATGCTCAGAATTCAGTTTTCCTCCAGATAACGACAAATATGCAAGTCCGTGTTTGGCATCAGAAACTCCTTAAACTATCATGGGGTGGGCTCGGGGCCAGGCAGCCGGGAGAGAACTGCTGATCTTGGATGGGGGCTTGTTTTTGTTCAGAGGTTAGCGTTTTGGACTGGACGAAGTGTTCAATATTTCCTCATAAAACCCCAAACATCATCCCAGAAAGCCTCCGCAGACACACGGAGGACTTGGCAGCAGTTTCTCCCTCTCTTTCTCTATCTCAGAAGCACAAAATGTTCCACAAAACATGACTTCACTTCATCTCCAATGTCCATGCAGCTCCACCCCGACTCTCCTCTCTAATAATATGGAGTATTGGGCTGTTTTTCGCACATAAGAGTGGGTTTTCAAACTCTTAGCGCTTTGTCTTGGAAAACACTTAAGCTGGCGGTGGTTCAAATCAGCTTAATGATTGAGGCTGGTGTAACAAGGGGAGAGTGCGTCTTTAAATATCTGAGTATTGATCCGAATCCTTCCAGGAACTAAAGAGCTGACAGTCGCAGAGAAGTTACATTATTCTGTCTGGGCAACGCTTCGGATCAAAGAATTTAGGATGAGCTTTAAAAGGCTGTTGGTGCATTTTGAGAGTTCATGAAATATTTCTAGAGACTGGAATTCATCTATAACGCCAAGTACTTTGGTCTTTCACACTGAATATACAAAGTAATGTGGGCATATGGAAACACATTAAACGTCCACTATGTAACTTTTCTAGTGGGGGTTGGTCGCCTGCTTGTCTCTGGGGAGAGTTATATTGCTTTTGGGAAATGTTCTACAGCAGTGTTTCCCAAACTTTTTTTTTGTGGACCTATATTTTAAAAGTCACAAACCTTTGCGACCCAAGTCATTAGACATTATGCATAAATCACTAAATAAAGGTGGATTTGACCATTAGTGAACACTAATGAGGATATTTTATTGTTGACTGAGTGATTGTGTCTCTCTGAACAATTAGTATTACTCAAATTTTAAACAATGAAAAACAGTAATTAAACCAGCAATAAAAGGATCTATAAGTCGCCTATTTGGACATTAAATTTAGCCCATTTCTTTTTCTTTTCAACATTCAATTGAAATTGGAACAAAATAGTCAATTAAATAATTACAAAAAGATTTGAAATTGTACAAAACATGTCTTGATATTTCAACATGTGTCAGAACTGTATATTGCAGACCTACATGCAGATTGTGACAAGGCGACCCCAAAAAATCTCTTGCAACCCACCTGAGGGTCACGACCTAGTCTTTGGGAAACAGTGTTCTCCAACATGGCATTAAATGTATCTATCTCAATGAAGACAGGAAAGTGGTCCTACCAGGCCAAGTTACAAGTCAAATCTGTGGAGATGTGTATGCATGTGTTAGTTTACGTTGCCAGTCCTGACCTGTGTGCGTGTGTATTTATGTGCGTCTGTACGTGTTTCCAGTCCTGACCCGTGTGTATGTGTCTGTATGTGTGTGTATGTATGTGCATGTGAGCGTGTGTTGCAGTCCTGACCTGTGTGTGAGTCCAGGCTTCATGCTGCTCAGACTCGGCTGCATGGGCACTTTTCCCGGTGCCTCGTTCTGGCGGTTCTTCTGGTGACGCAGCAGGAGCAGACGCCCCAGCTCCTCGCACCACGACGACAGCAGAGCTACACACACAAAATACACATGTCAGGAGAGCTACACACAATATACACACGTGAGCAGAGATTCACAAACAATATGCACACATTAGCGGAGATACACACACAATATGCACATGCAGAAGAGTGGTGTGTACTATTGGAAGAAGTGATTCATCATTCATAAATTTAGATGTACATTCACAAGTCTGATTATGAAAAAATGCAAGTTAATGAACAAATGATAGCAGCAAGTAACAAAATCAAATAAATCTGAACAGTTGCATGGGCACTGGGCAATGTTGACTGGGATTTTGGATGTTAGAATTTGCATATTTTTTAAATTTGATATTTTTGTATAAACTATTGACTAGAAAAGTGTCAAGGACCCAGAAATCTATGCAAACAACTTTCAAACTCAATGCAGAAAATAATGAAATGTAGCTTCACCTTCTAATTTGACAACATTTTAGCACTAACAGCCTTTCTAAAGAACATATTAAAAAGATCATTTATCGGTCAGTAAGATAAAAGATCCTCTTTTTGGCCCAAAATGGGGAAACTCCAGTGTTGCAACACATAGTTAAAAACATAAACAGCCTAAGAATAGACATACGCAATCAAAAATCATTATAATTTGAATGAATTTTAAGAAAGATAGCTATAAAAAAAGACCTAAAATCAATAACTCACAAAAGAAGAGAAAAAATACATTAAGTATGGAGGTATAGAGGTATGAAATTACATTATATTTTTATTTAAAATGTCGGTGTCAATAATTGTAACTGTAAAATTTACGTCGCAATCTTCTCTACACTGGAATTGACAATAAGATGCCCATTACTGCAGCAAAAACTAGTAACTAAACTGACTCGAAAACACATATTTGAAAATGTTACTGGATTACACAGAAAAATCTCCTTTACATTTCACTACAACAACTTCCAAGCACAACACCAGCCTTGAAAAGCACAATACAATGTTTAAATCCCACTGTCAGTATTTCCAAAGCCTCTAGAGGGCAGCGTTACTCAAAAAACAGAGCCCGACCGCCCTGCCCGCTGCTGTCTTTGTTGATTTCCCATCTCCCACATCACAGGCTCTCTACCTGCAGTGTCACAGCCGCACTGAAATCTATCTAACGCCCCGGACCTCCCCGTTTGAGCCACGAGGAGCAGAGAGGAACGGAATGGTGAAGCGAATCGTGCGCAGAATACAGAGAAAGACCACACGACCTGATCTAATCTACAGAGGAAGAGAAGAAGACGCCACAGACACATCCTCGACAACACTAGATTCTGAAAATAATTCTTCTTGTACAGATGTGGAGTTTTCGAGCTGATTTGATTTGCTGTTGTGACCAATAGGGCTGCAATCATTGACTGTATAAAGAAGTGGACTAAGGGGGTGCGACGTCAACCATAGCGTTCGGCTCCAGTCAAATGAAGCTCACTGAGGCTGGCAGATATAGGTATAAATTTGAGCAGTTTCATATTAGGACTAGGAATTGATTAGTTGTTAATACGAACATTTTAAGACCAAAATGAGGAGCCTGACTGCAGCAGTTACAGAGAGCGATGTTTATTTCAATACATGCTCACTTCCTGTTCTGACTAATGATCAAATGAATCAAATAATTGCAGTCGTATTTTGATAATCTGGACCATACAGACTCTAACCGCAAACGGAAAGACATTTTTTATAACAAAATCCAGTGTCAAAACAGACTAAACTATTCCAGATTTCAATTTACTTGGTTAAAAATTTAAACAAGCCTCAAATGTGCAATAGAAATAATCGTTTGACTAGTTGACTAATCGAAAAATGAACCATTGATGGCCGATTACCACAATTTGCCGATACTGATATTCAACTTCTAAAATCCATGCAAGAACCACAAATTTATATTAAGGTATTACACAAATTATTATATTATTATAACAAAATTTATCTGGGATGTAAAATAATTTGCTTCATAATTGTGTAAACATACAGCCATATTTTTTAGACTAATTATAATTTTTTTCTGTTTCTATAAAAAAAAGTCATTAGTCTGTTCCAAAACATCGGATACACTGAGAGCAAACTGGTTATGATTTGTGCAGCACAGATAAGATATCGGTGTCAAATAACTGCAAATTTTTCGATATGAGACGATACAATATCTTAGGAACGCCTTTGATATCACCGTTAACGCTAAACCATCTACAAATCCTCCCTTTATTCTACCATTTGTCTCCACACAGCCCCTCAGATCTCCCAGGACTACGACTAATCAGACTGTGGTGGAGCCTTTTCATTGTGGTAATAAAAGACAACAGAGCAGCAGTGGTGCACACACAAGATGCTTTCCTCCTCAGGCGATCGGCGACCCAATTTTTACATTTCCTAAAACTGTCAGTCAACACCCAGCTTTAAAAGTCAGCGGGTTGCCAGATTGGATGTTATTTGAACAAGGGAGATTTAAGGAGGTTGTCTGAGTCAGTCTCTCAGAAGAAGGAAATGTCAACAGATTCTAGAGAGTGTTTTGTGTGCGGATATTAGCTGACAATTATCACAATTACGATGAGCCTGGTTAGTCATTTTGCATTGTTTTTGTCTGATCAAATGGGCTGAACTCTCTCTAATAGCACGAATAGTAATAAAATAATACAATAATGTTTGATAATTTAGTGCACAATGTGAAACATGTACAGTACTTATCCATTAAACAGGTCTAAAAATCCTCCAAGCCTATTTTTAGTAGGGGTGTAACAATATCCAAGTCTCACGATACGATATCGTCACGGTATGAACGTCACGGTGCGACATTTATTGCGATATCGTGGGAAAGCGATGGTTGGGAGGCTCACGATTAGGGATGTAACAATATCCAAATCTCTCGGTACGATATTTTCATGATATACATCTCTACAAAACTGTTAATACTCTACTTTTTCCTTCTTAAAATGCCTTGACAAGACTTAATCCAAAGAACTAAGACTCAAAAGTGCTCAGAGGTGTTATTTCTTCTTGTAGTCTGCACTGAAATGAAGCAAAGGATCATGGTCTATGTAGTTCCCTCTGTCTCTTTTGAGCTATTGCTGCACCATAACTCTTAATTTAAGCAAAGGGACTTGTAATTCAATATATTGTGATGGTCCACGATATTATTGTGAGAACTTTGATGATATCACGATATTTTGGTTATTGTTACTTCCCTAATTTTTAGTAAAGTAGAAAGATAGTTAACAATACTTACTTAGCAATAAAAATATGGATGCACTAATCTCTGTATTACATATCGATGCTGAAACTGAAAATATTGCGGGATCAGATATCGGCTTCCAAATATCGGTTAAGATATTATCCCGGTTGTGCCCATGAATCTAAGTAATAAGACTATTTACTGGTCGGAGTCCGTCCAGAAAGTTTCATAATGTATGAACTTTTATTTACACAAAGTTGTTCTGTAGTTTCTTGATATAAATAACAGTTACATAACACATTTGGGTCAGTTCCGTTTTATTTTAGCTTAGTTTTCACAAAATAGATGCTGTAGTAGCTATAGTATCCAAATTGGAACTGAAACCGAAAAACGAGCATTGGTGCATGCCTAAACAGTAGCAGTAGGTTTTAGTAGTATTTAAAAAAACTAATAATAAAAATACCCACAGACTAATCATATGAGCAGTCAGTGTGTGGGATCATGAACAGGTATCAACACTGGAAATAATAAGACATATTTCTGAAGTAGTTTTAGTCCTGTTTTGGTGTTTGACTTTCAGCAAAAACATGAAACTGAAACTGAAAAACTGTTAACGATAAATAACTTGTGACTGTAAGGTTATTTGAGAGGGACTTGTTTAACAGCACAAATCCGCTTACCAGTTGTAGTTCCAGCTAAGTCAGTTCCTTATGGCCAGAGTGTGTTAAAACAAAGCTCAGATTAAGTCGAACTGGAGTAAAAGAGCTTCTAACAGAGCAGTGCTTTCAGTTAGCGTCACAGCCCCAGAGAATGCTGATAGCTCAAACATCGTAGACAGAATATTCACGTAAACATGACAAGAGGAGGGTCAGAGGAGCTGCAAACAAACCCAAACATGTCTGACTAGTTCATTTTGAGGGTGGAGAGCGCAAGCCTCCTAGTTAAAGAAGAATTATTCCACCCTTCCATTACCGAAGGCTTATCGCCGCAGTAAATCACCACCTCCACACTGAGGGACTGTCTCCAACGTACCCAACCCACTATTTAGACCCTGGGACTGGCCGCTGAGGGGGGAGACGTGCGGAGGGCTGGACCACGTCGGGAAAATATCTGATGGTGATTTTTTCGATAAGTATTATGATTGGATGAGTATTTAGTATTAAGATTTGGTTCAAAGTTGTAAACACGTCCAGAAAACATGACAAAAAGACGTAAATATGAGCAAATACTGTGTAAGAATCACATTTCAGAGCATTTTTTGAGTTTGCAGTATTATATAAAATATGTAGTACTGAAAATCAGATACTAATTCATACTAAAAGAGAAAACCAGGGAGGAGACGTGAGGAGGGCTGGATCATGTCGGGAAAATATCTGCGAATTTTATGTATTATGATTAGACTATTATTTAGTATTAGGATGCTGTTCAAAGTTTTAAACGTATTCAGAAAAATGTATCAAAAAGATATAAATATGAGCAAATACTCTACAAGAATCACATTTTAGAGCATGTTTGTACACATCGAAACTACAGGGTTAGCAGTTTTGACGCACTACGATATAAAATATGTAGTACTGAAAAACAGATACTAATACATAATAAAACTTAAACCAGGTGAGAGACGTGCCGAGGGATGGACCATTTCAGGAAAATATCTGATTGCGACTTTTCTGACAAGTATTAGTATTAGGATTCTGTTCAAAGTGTTAAACTCATCCAAAAAATGTATTAAAAAAAGATGTAAATAGAAGCAAATACTATGTAAGAATCACATTTCAGAGCATGTATTATATAAAATATGTAGTACTGAAAATCAGATACTAATTCATACTAAAACTGA